CACAATTTTACATACTTCACATTATACTGCTGTGATTCACTTGTCACATTTTAAACAACTGATTTTAGTGTTTAGTGTTTTATTTTAAATTTATTTAGACAACTGTACAGAAATTGAATACTGACCATTTACTGGTTACTGGTTTACTGGCCATGAAAATAATTATCAGCTTATCAGTATCAGCCCGAATTTTAATACTGATGCATGCTTACTGCGTATATTAATGATGAAAAAGAACAGAGAAACTGCTTCTACCAGACAGTGTTGAAGACACACGTGGTCATTTGCTTCCTGTGCAATGCGGATTGATTCCTGCAGAGCCAAATCAGCCTGTTGACTGCACAAACACAAGCACAAAAAGCAGTTACACTGATAGAATGACAGAAATGTTCAGTTTAGAAACTAAGATTCTGTCTGCTCCCTTTATTCCAGCAAAAATTAATGCACTAATACGCACTAGTGTCCGAAGCGACAGTGCAAGGTTGCCAGATTCAGGACAGCGTAGTGCAGGAGGCTGTGAGTGGAGATGTAGATATCCTGCACTCGCATGCTGTTCAGATAGCTGAGGTAATGCTGTGGAGAAACAGAGAGAGGCTCAGTTAACAGATTAATCATCTGTTTCATGAAAGGAAGGATTGCAGCTTACAGCTTCAGCAAAGTCAGGATTGAATTTGAGAATGTTGTTAAGCTCGTCCTGTAGCTTAGCTGGTGACATGGCCTTGTTTTCATCGTTCTTAAGGAGGTATGCCTGAGAAAAAAAAACATGGTGACTATTAAATTGTGTAAAATGTGTTAATGAAAGTCAAGTCTCTTATACGTTATAACAAACCAGGGTCCGAAATATTGGGAGTTTGGGGCAAAAATGCCACCAAAATGAACAAAAATGGCCTCCAAATTCAAGATACTGGGGCAAAAAAATGCACCTGCACAATAAACTAGATTGATTATGACAACACAGTCACATTTAATAAGGTAATTATAAAAATTGCCCTTACGAAGGTAAAAAAAAAAAAAAAGCCCCTGGAAATCATTAACAGGGTGCAAATATTACCTTAATGGAAAAGATAATTCCTGACTCTGTAACAAACCTGTCGTGCAAGGAAGTATTCTGCTTGTTTCTGAGATAAAGGACCCCGGGTCTCATCAGATCTGATGAAAACAGAAAAAAAAAAACATTTATGTCCATTCCTATTTAATTAATACAACCCTGATTGCACTAATAACACAAGTAACACGTTATTCCTCTGACCTCAGCTCGGACTGGTGTAAAGATGCTGTGTCCAGCTCGTCTTTGTCTATGCGGTCAGCGCTGGGATCTTCATTGCTCGTCAGCTCCATGTCTTCAGTGGAGAGTTTGGGCTGATTGCCACGATGGCAGTACTGCTGCAGGGACTTGTACAGCTTATACACCTGACTGAAGGACAGTTTATTGTAGGCCAGCAGCATCTGACGCATGAACAGACCTAGAAACACAGAGAGAAAGTTATCAAGAATTCAGTTCCGTGGTCTTAAAAAAAAAGTTCTTCTTAACTACTATATTCATTTTGTAACATTTATTATAATTAAATATATTTTGCATTTCCAAAATACTTCTTAAAATTGTTCTTCTTTTAACCTCACACATTTTACATTATGAGATTTTTTCTACTTAAAAAATGGGTTAATGGACAAATATATTAAGGTTTAAAATTTAAAATCTCATGAAACAATGCTAAAGAAAATATTGTATAATTTAGAACAACTAGTAAAACTTCCTAGACTTTTTTTCTTAAGATTTTCATCTGGCCACAGAACTCTAAAATTGGGCAATATTTGATAGGAATGGTGGTTATGGCCCTGAAAGAAACACATATTCGTACCAACAACACTAGTTTTGAAGGCCTCTGAGTCACTGAAAGCATTGGGCAGGATAGTAAAAAAGTGCTCCATATCCTGCAATTCTCCATCAGCCATTAAAAACAACCTGAAAAACAGAAGGCATTGGTTTATTTATAAAATATTGTCATAAAATAAAATCTGACCAAAGCTGAACAGTTCTTTATTAACAGAGACACATACCTGAGTTTCACAGCATTGACCATGCGAAGACAGCACTCTACTATCTTCAGAAACTGCTCTAGAGTCAAATCTGAACCCTGGTCATCACAAACACAAATCAAACATGTGCACATATTTTTTTTATCTAGAAAAACACACCACATGTGTGTGTACCCCTGTAAAAATGAAGTGTGCTTAATTGCATTGAATGCGAACTCGGAACTGTTGTGTGTTATTTAATATTACATTTCAAGTAAATACATTTTAAATGTACTACATTGCAACTTCATCGTTACAAATGTATAACACAAATATATTTAAATAATTCCATACAAAAGTAGTTAACATAAATGCTTGTAAATACATGCAGCAATACACTTTAAACATACAGAACAAGACAAAACACAAAACAATTATGAATATTACATATATTTCTATGCTTAAATATTAAAGACGTCAAAAAGCACTCCTAAGCTCAACTTATTGCATTTAATAAAATGTAAACTATAATACATTTTAATTTAATTTTAACGACCAAGTATTATAAAGTATACTTTTTCAAATGGTAAGCACAAACATGCTACATAACGTTACCTGTTGTAAAGGTAGGATGAGTTTGTTCAGGCGTCTTCTGTCTAGAAGCGCCATTGGTTTGGTTGTGGACATCTCATGGAGCAAAACTAATACTGCGATCTTGTATGGAGTGACCCAATCCTTTATACCGAAGATATTGGCATGGACAACCCCATTGGTCATTTGTCATCATGGGGTTGAAATACAAACTTTCATGCACACTGGCCATGGCCTCTCTGGACTTATATTCCTCAAGATACAGCAAAAGGAAGTATACCGGTGCAGTAAATTCTATAATTTCATAACGACAATAACTACGCTGTTACAGCATAAACTAAAATAATCTAGCCTACATTATATTGATAATATGGTAACGGAGACGTTTCTTCAAAATACCCTCCAGTTCCGTTTACGTTCCAGGGCGCGGTGTAGAGCACAGATGAATCGATTGTGTTTTAGTGCGGTTCAGCTCTACGAATCAGTTCTTGTGAATAGTTCATTTCACTGAGTCGCTGCGCTGTTATCGCGGATCGTTGCGAGTGGGATCTGGGCGAAAAATGCAGTTCACGGTTGAATGAAACTCGAGACCGATTTAGTCCGATGTGTACGAATCGTTTAAATCAGTTAAAAAAAAACTGTTCAATAGAATAATAGAAAAATCCTACTCAAAAGAACAATTCATTCACGAATCGGACTGTTACGCAGGGTTGCCAGGTTTTCACAACAAAACCAATCAGTTCTTGTGAATAGTTCATTTCACTGAGTCGCTGCGCTGTTATCGCGGATCGTTGCGAGTCGGATATGTGCGAAAAATGCAGTTCACGGTTGAATGAAACTCGAGACCGATTTAGTCCGATGTGTACGAATCGTTTAAATCAGTTAAAAAAAAACTGTTCAATAGAATAATAGAAAAATCCTACTCAAAAGAACAATTCATTCACGAATCGGACTGTTACGCAGGGTTGCCAGGTTTTCACAACAAAACCTGCTCAATTGCTACTCAAAACTAGCCCCACACCTGG